CACACACACACACACACACACACACACACACACACACACACACACGAGCTTTCCCTGGCATTGACCATGTCCCTGGGCAGGTCCTGGGTGTATGAGAGAAGGGAGGGTGCAAGGGGTTGGCATTGCTGGTGTTGTTGAGTCAGTTCCAATGCACAGCAGCCCTGAATACAGCAGAACCAAGCACAGCCCATCCCTGGGCCAGCCTCACCCAGAGAGTAAGGTACCATTTCAGTAACTGGCAAGAGAGAGGAGAGAAAAGAATCAACTTCCTCAATGCACCCCCCCCTCCCTCCCTCCCCACACTCTTGTGTCAAGTGTCCTTTAGATGCCAGACTCCCCAAGCTCCACCATGGGGCTAGCTCGAAGAAAGGGCCTCTGGGTTGCTTCTAATTCCCATTTCCAGGTGTCAGCTTCCTTACTGTCCCGGATCATTTTCTGAAACTGTCCTCATAATTGTACTGAGATCTTCTCAATAGGGAAGCCAAGTACTCTCATTCAGAAGATAAAACGGAGTATTGTTCTGAGGCCACCTATTCTCTGCCCCTCCCTGCCGGAGGACTGTGCTTCCTGAGTCACATGACTCGCTTGGACCAGTGGCATGGCGTAGAAAAGGGCCCAGCTCTCTGGGCCATCGTCCACCGCTCTGTCCACGCACTTCTCCCTCTGGCCGCTTCCCAGACACAATCTGCTCTCGGAATGCAGACGACACAGAACAGGGTGGATGTGAAGAGACTGGCCAAAGCAGGGATGGGAAGGAGAAAGGAACTTTTACAAGAACGGAGGTTGTGGGCCAGTGATTGTCAGCACATCACGTAGCCAGCACTGTTCGATGTCATGGTTACATCTCTTTTACTTCTTCAAACACCAAAACTAAACTAAAACAAACAAAAGACCTTAGTCGCCAATGGTCAGTTCTGACTCATGGCTTATCCCATTACCTTCTCTGAAGAAAAGAGAACCACTAAGATCCAAAGCTATGATTACCCTAATAATGCCACATTCACGTATAAAATAGAGAAATGTTTTCCCCTCACACAGAAATAGAAATCCTTACTTCAGCGAAGTAGCTCCCTAAGAACTCCTCGCTCAGGACAGCGGCAGCAGTCTGAGCCCCAGCGAACTCTCTGGTCATGCCGGTGGCCCTTGTGGTCCTGATGGTCTCCTTGCTGAGGACGTGTCCAGCTGCCCCCGTGACCTGGGCAGCCCCTCCAGAGAGAAGACTCCGGTGCTCTTCCCACCTCCCATCCATCTCGGACGTCTCGTGGAACCCTTTGCTAACGGAGGCTGAGAAACTCCCTTTCCCGGCGGCTCCCTTGGTGAATGAACACCCTACTCCACTTTCTGAGGACAGGTTTCCCCTGGGGTCTCCTGCTGGAAGCGGCGGCGGCGGCAGCAGCGGCATGGCCTGTGAGAACAAACACATTTGAGAAGCGGGTCAGGAGGCTGGAGGGGAACAGCCAGTCAAAGAATACAAGTTAAGTGAGGGTAAGAGGGGACCAGGCTGTTTTTAGAGGGTCAACTCAAGAAAAAAAATCGGGGGGTGGGGTGGAAGGGAGGGTTGAGTAACTTCTAGTTCTTTCATCTAAAGATGTCCACTGTGCCCTCATGCTGCATAACCAATCGAAACCCAGGGAAACAAACAAGCGAGCATTCTAATGCGCTCTGAGCTCCTTTACTCTCTTGGGACCAATGGCATTTCCAGCATTGCCCGGAGTCTGAGGCCTGTTCCCACGGTTCTCCCACCCACTGCCATCGAGTCCGTGCCGCCGTACAGCAGCCAGGAGGACAGGGTAGAACTGCCCTGGGGGCTTCTGGGGCTATAACTCTGCATTGAAGTAGAAAGGCCCGCTTTTCTCCCATGTCGTTTTAAACCACTGACCAGGCGGATCGCAGGCGAACACGTGGCGACCACACCACCAGGGCTCCAGTACCTTGCATTTCAAGCTGACCTATTACTGATTTATAAATAAATAAAACCCACACTCAATGCCACTGTGTTGAGGCCGCCTCTAGCGAGCCTGTAGCACCAGGTAGAACTGCTCCTGTGAGTTTCCAAGCCCGTAACTCGACAAGAGTAGAAAGCCCATCTTTCTCCTGCTGAGCAACGGATGGTTTAGAACGGCTGACCTTGCTGATCGCAGCCCAACAGGTAACCACTAAGCTTCAAGGGCTCCTGAGCTGACATAAAGCTGCTCCCAAATAATGACTATCTTCAAATCTCCGCTGCTACTAGGCACCCGGGAGTTGTGGTCAGTGTGATGTCCGTAGCTGTGGGGTCTGGGCTGCGGGGAGAGTGGCCAGAGCACGAAGGTGGCACAGCAAGGAGTTTGTCCACGCAGACACACTGAGAAAGGAGCTGGGGCTGGGGGAGAAGCACCATGCTCATGTTGATGTGCCAGTAGCTGATTTCTCTGACGTTTTCCTCCTGGACGTGAGGCTTGTGGGAAATGGCAATGAGAGCCCTTGGCTTTGAGAGACAGTGGGAGACGGTAAGCAGGTAGGAAGGAAGAGGATGGCTTTAAAGCATCTTACAGACGCCATGGCGGGGGTGCAGCTTACCTCTGCCCATCCTCCCTATGGAACGGAATGGGAAAAGGACCGATGCCTGGCTGTACAAGGCAGTCCAGCTAATATTGGGGCAAATGTTTCTACCCTGAGGCCTCACACACTCTAGAGAATCAGTCACGCCCTGGCTCTTGCTCTACTTTCAGCACAGGACACCTGCCACTCTTAAACAAAACAAAAAACCTGAACTCTGCCCTGGCGACACAAACAAAATACACTGTTAGATAAATCATTTGTTTAACAAGGGCACGCAGATGAAACCCACCATGACCACATCCCCCACAGCCCATTAATACCCTGAAAGAAGACACGTCATTAACCCCCGAAGGCTGACCTTGTCCTCAGGGGGTGCCCCTTCATTGTTCCACGGGTGCAGCATCTCCATGGTGCCAGGCACAGCGGCAAAGCCTTTGGCCCCCTCTCCACAGTGGCACATTAACAGGAGGAGCGGTACAACTAGGGAGGACACAGAATCGAGTTCAGAGAAAGTTAGTCCAATGAACTTCTTGTCTATTGCCTCGTTCTGGAATTTGCCTATCACTTCCACAGGAGGAATCAGCCTTTACTGTTTCCAGCTGTGATACTCTTTTCTGCCTCATGATCCAACCTCTGCAAGCTCGTTTGGGTGTGGCGTGCCAGGGTCTGGAGTCGAGGTGGAAGGGTCTCAGAGATTCACAGCACGGACTGGAACTCAACAAAGAGCAGTTCGTGGTTGCTGGGTGGAGCGCCACGACTGGATTAGGTGGTATCCAACCACAGGACTGGCCTAGAGAGTTTATACAGGTTTTGTTTTGCGAAAGTTTTTAACTTTTAATATGATAAAAATCAGTGTCAAAAAACAAATGTCTGAAAAGATTCAAAGGTCACAAGGGTAAAATATATTTTTTAATATATTAAAATATTCCATAACTTCCACAATACAAGTCCTTCACCCTAGACTGGAATTGAGCACAAGGCAGGACTCCCGCGGGTCCTCATTAACCTTAAATTATCTAAGTACTATGACCTGAAATGATTCTTACGTTAACATAAAAACACCCAAATCCTGGAACACATGTAACATTTTATTTAGACTTCAACAACACATCTGAGCTCCCTCCTTCCACTTCCTCTCATCCCAGAGGAGACAAAAGCCAGCCCACGTTTCCCTTGTCCCACCCAGCATTCGCCATACCTGTACACCTCAGAGGATGGAATCAGTACAACTGTGTTGTACACGTGGAAACTGGTGTATTGCATGTTTTGCTATGTCTATTTACACTGAAACACACACACACACACACACACACACACACACACACACACACACACATCTGAAGCAGTCCACCTCTCGTTAGCTCTAATAGCCCCTTCCATTTTGCCCCTTTCAGAGGTGAATTGCCTCCCCTCTGGATTCCCTTCAATGAAAACTCGTCGCGATCACAGTGACTATCACTCCTGTGAGTTATGAAAAGGCAGAGAGCAGCCAGGGTCGTGCATTTCCACACACATTTACCAAGTGTCTGCGCTGTGCAAGGGCCGTGGAATCTGAGATGAGAGAGCAGTGCAAGAATCTGTGAGCAGGAGATCTCATTAGGCTCTCCGTACCCACTGCCATTGAGACCGTAGGCTCGGAGTGAGCCTGGAGGATAGCGATTCTGAGGCTGTAAATCTTTATGAGGGCAGAAAGCCTTTCTCCTATGGAGCAACTGGTGGAGTTGAACTGCTGACCTTGTGTATATATAGCAGCCCAATGTGTAACCAATCCACTATGCCACAGGGGTGTCAGTAAGGGTCTGGTACTTACTAATGAGATAAACTGGGACAGCCATGTTTCCTTATCCATAAAATGGAGATAGTATCAAAGCACAGGGTAAACGGCTAAGTGGTATGCCTTCAGTTGAACACCTACAGTGGTCTTGATAAGGGTCCATCTCTGTCATGAACTAGCCACCGTGCCTCGGAACTGGTCCTCTACCTGTGTTCCGTTCTCCAGGGGAGTGGTCCTTTACACAGCCCAGGTTACCATGCCTTGGTCTTTCATGAAAGAAAACCGGAGGCTTTGGCAGTTCTATAGGGAAGGTAGGCTGTCTGGGGATATCTTATGAATATCAAGAAGCACAGAAACAGTCAGAGGGTTGGCCTACTCTTGGCCCTGGTGAAGAGGCAGATTGTATGGGGAAGCTGAGCCGTGCCAAGTTGATGGCTGACCAGAAGGTCCAAGTCTATAAAAGAGCCCTGCCTCCAGTGTTCAAACTCATCCAGCAAGTTTTTGCTGAAAGCATCTTCCTTGTTGCCGGCACTGAGACCACAGCAGGGAGCAGACGCCGCCTTGTCCTTCACTGCTTCCCACCATGAGGTCTCCAACAGGATTTATGCCCAAAGGTAACTGAAGGGCGTGAATAACCTTAGTCATTTAAACTAGGAAATGATTCAATTTTATAAGACACAATTCTGAAAATTCCTAAGTCTAGGGTCTGGTGGTAGTGTGACTGACAATATCTTTTCTGTTTACCAAGCTTACTCCGTCCATCTTCCTTGCCTGGTTAAGTGAGGCTGGCTCTGCCAACATCGGCACCCAGCCCAGTGGCATTATCGGCACCAACCAGAAAGATGAGTGGGATTCATTATGTCTACAAAATTTATAGATGTCCCAAAGACACAAATACTCCCGGCGCATTTTCTTTGTTCCTGCTCTCTCCTGCTCTTGCCCCACCCCCATACCTGAAAAGGCACCAGAGCTGTTAACTCTTTGCTCACCAAACCTTATTGTAGTCTGCTAGTGGGTCTGTATTAACCCTCATTTTCTCTTCTGTTCTGGACCAGGGGCTCTCATGGGCTCGAGGACTTTTCAGTTCGCTACTTCTCTGCTTTAGACAAAGGGCCAGCCCTACCCTTTTTCTAGGCGGCTATCCTAAATTCCTTCACCTCATCTCCTTTGATCTCCTGTTCCTGACCACCCTCACCTCCCTCGATAAATCTATTAATGTAAAGTCTTGCTCTGTGGCCAGTCTTTGAAAAATCTTACACTAAGATAAGGTGTTGGTGAGCTCATTCATCAACCATGATTATTTCCTTACTCTCATCAAAACAGTTTGAGTGTACGGCTAAAGAGTAAGTGTAAAGGAATTATTAATCAGCAGTGCACTTAAATTACTGAAACAAGTGGACGGTGGTGTTGTTTTTGTTTTACATACTTACGTAGTAAGAGCAGAAGGGCAAAGATGATTAGGGCAATTGCGGCTGGTCCCAGGCCAACATAGGAGTCGTGCAGGGCTTCCACACAGCCACTGCCATCCAGACAGTTGCAAACACTGAGCTGAAGGACCTGATCTTCCGGGCAATTGAAGCCCTGAGCATCTTTAATCAGGAATTGGATTTCACTTCGCCCAAGCTTTCGTTCACTTGCTTGTAGCAGCACACTGGTACCTGGAAGGATGAGAGGCAAAAAAAAGAAAAGGAAAAGGAAACGAGTGCTTACCAAAGAAGAGGTACAATGAAGTGACAGAAATCTTCAACGCTAGTTAGAGTCAGCTCCACTCTGAGGAGTCTTATTCTTCCTTAACTTGTCTACGGGCGTACACTGTGCGCTTGTGAAATTAGCCTATCAATGCCACCAAGGCAGTCTGAGAGCAAAGAACCCCATTTGGATATCTTTATTGCATGAGTAAACAAATGAGAGCCATCTACCTAATGGCAGGAACTGTCCTATGCACTAGGAATATGGTAAAAAAAAAGTTCAACGACTCATCCAGTTCCAACATTTCTGTTTTTAGATAGAAAACCAATGTGCTCTTCTGGAGAGGCAACAGGGCAGCGGGCAGACTCCAGAGCCAGGTGGTGTGAGTTCAGGTCACGATGGCAACATTAGAACTGTCTGTGCCTTTGTTTCCTTATCTGTAAAATAATGGTCTCAAAGTTTTAGATGTTTAGGGTAAGAGGTTGCCGTGAGTTGTTTCTCCCTTTAATATTTGGAAAGTGTCTGGCATATTCTAAACATCACATTTGCTAAATAAAATAAATATGTGTTGGTATCCCAGGAAAGAACCACTGAGACATGAATACAAATTTAGCCCAAAGAAAGGCCAGCTCCAACCAAGACTAAGATTTCTAGGCTGGAGTCCCTGGCTTTGGTGAGTACAAATTAGATGCTGTGAGCAAAGATGCCAAACACCTTTCAATTTCTGAGACCCATGCTTTGATTAAGGGGCCATGGTAGCGGAGTGGACTACACACTGAGCTGCTAACCACAGGGTCAGCGGTTCTAATCCACCAGTGGCTCTGAGGGAGAAAGACGAGGCAGAAGCTTCAGACAGCCAAAGGGGAAGTTGTGCCCTGTCACTCAGGGCCACTCTGAGTCAGAATGGACCCTATGACAGCGAGTTTTGATTGAGTGATTTCATGACCAGAAAAGAGGGCGGTGTGACGTGCCCTCTGATGTCTACCACCTCAGAGCTCTTGCCAACAGAAAACCTGATCTACATGAGTTCTATCAGTCACCAAGGCAATTCGTCCTGAATGGGGAGGCAACTTCAGTTAGTGCAGGGCCTGACTCTTTCTTTGAGTGAGCCCTAGGCCCTCAGAAGATTGAGAAGTAAGTAGCAGGCCCATTTAAACAAATCAAAGACACAATTTTAATTTTTTTACGTTAGAACATATCTATTTGCATATTTTTCTATACTTGCAATATTGAAAAGAAAATTAGCCTTACTTATGAGATAGCTTTGTGACTTCAGTGTACTCGTGATTTTAAGGCAATAATATCAAGAATTTGGGCAGTAACTCCCAGCACAGACTTGTTGGATACATTTGGATCCACACTGTAACACCTCTTACCTCAGTAATTCTTACTTGCATTATTCCTCATCCCAATCAGTCCATTAATTAATTAATTGAGTGAGTGGTTTTTATTGTGGATTGAGGGGTGTTTACCGAGGAACTCAGTCGTCCTTTCAATAAGTCATCGATGTTGTATTTCTTGTCCCTGGATGGTTGTCGTTGCTAGGTGCCGTCCAGTTGGCTCTGCTTCGCAGCAGTCCGATGGACCACAGGATGAGCCCCTGTGGGCCCTGTGCTAGTCTCACAATTGTTGCCACGTGTAAGCCCACTGTTGGCAGTCCCTGTGTCAATCCATCTTGTCGAGGTTCTTTCTCTTTTCACTGCCCTCTGCCAAGCAGGGTGCCCTTCCCCAGGGGCTGGTCTCCGGCGAACAGGTCCAAAGTATGTGAGATGAAGTCCCACCATCATTGCTTCCAAAGAGCATCCTGCCCGTATTTCTTCCGAGACAGACTTCTTTTGGCAGTTGACGGTCTGTTCAATAGTCTTTGCCAGCACTATCATCCAAACGCCTCGATTCCTCTCAGTCCTCCTTTTTCAATGTCCAACGTCCACCTGCATAGGAGGCAACTGAAAATACCCTGGCTTGGGTCAGGCACACCGTCATCCTCAAAGTAACATCTTTGCTTTTCAGTGCTCTAAAAAGGTCCTGTGCAGCAGGTGTACCTAAAGCAGCTTGTCTTTTGATCTCTTGACTGCTGCGTCCACGAACATTGATTGTCGATCCAAGCAAAACGAAGTACTTGACAGCTTCAATCTTTTCACCATTTATCATGATGCTACTTATTAGTCCAAACTAAAAAAACCTCACTATTCTGGAATCAATGCCAACAACATAGCAACCCTTTAGAATATGTGGGTCTCTGAGATTGTAACTCTTTACGGGAGTAGAAAACCAGTCTTTCTCCCGTGGAGCGGCTGGTGGATTCAAACTGCTGATCTTCTGGTTAGAACCCCAATCCATAACCTCTCCACCACCAGGGCTCCTTACCTAGTGGTCCAGTTGTGAGGATTTTGGTTTTCTTTACACTGTGGTGTAATCCATATTGAAGGCTGCAGTCCTTGATCTTCATGGGCAAGGGCCTCGAGTCCTCCTTGCTTTCAGCATATCCCAGGTGGCTTGTAAGCCTTCTTCCGATCCTGCTACTGTATCCTCCATACAGTCCAGCTTCCCTGAGGATTTGCTCAGCATACAGATTGAACACGTTTGGTGAGAGGGTCTCACCCTGACGTACACACCTTCTTGATTTTTACACCGTACAGTTTTCCCTTGTTCTGCGTATTGGCATTTAGTGCTAGGAAGGTCTTATCTATTATTCAAAGCCTTGTAAAATGATTAAGAACCTCAAAGTTAAGAATAACTGGGATTTAAAATGAAATGTAACTGAAGTAAATATTAATTCTTCAAAATAAAAGTCATTTTCTGGATAGACATTTCCCCCCATATAAAAGTCCTTCTGAAGGCTTCCCTTAAGTTCACCTCAGTAGGCAAACAGCCTGGGCTGGGGCATCTGACAGACTGACTGACTGATTTCATTCTGAATTGGGGGAAGGTTTACAGCGCAAAATCACTTTTCCACTCGGTAATTCTCATACATTTTGTCTTTGGTCATTGATTCAGTCTGTACAATAGAACATCACTCTCGCCCTTCCTGTGTTTCTCATTTGCCTCCTTTCTCCTTCCTAACCCTTCAGAGCATTGTCACTGGGTGAATGCTGCCCTTTTGACCTCACGTGGCTGACTTTTCTAGAGTGGGAGCACCTCCCTAGTGTTCCTGTTCCCTTTATAGACCTGTGTGTTGTGCGGCAGAAAATTGAGCCCCAGGGGTGAGCTCATTTCTAGACCTAGAAGGTGACTAAGGGCCATCGTCGCAGGGGTTCCACCAGTCTCTTTGACCAGTAAACTGGGTATCTTTTATGATTTTGAGTTTTGTTCTACATTGTTCTCCATTCTACCCAAGATGTTCTAATTTAATCTTTTCAGAGGCGTTGATAGTGATAGCCGGGCACCACCTAGTTCTTCTCATCTCAGGGTTGTGAAAGTTAATTTCCCCCTGCGCCAATGGTCCGTTGGAAGAATTGTTTCCATGTATCTTCAGTTTTGTTCACTCTCTTTCTTGTGCACCGTGGATGGCCACTCATGAGCTGCTAAGATCCCAGTTGCTACTCACCAAAGCAGAATGTAGAACATTGTCTCTGTGGACTGTGTTATACTAATTCACCCGTGTCCCTCAAATCCATGGTTCTTCGCTCCAGGTTCAGTGACTCGTCCCCTCAGGGTGTCTGGTTGGGGCTGGGAAGTTTTCATACTTCGCCCCTCTATGTGCCACCACATTCACGGATTATATTCGCAGCAAAGGTAAATGCACATGTAGAAATAATCCTTGGTCAGACCTGCCTGTTCATATGCACAGTCCCCCGCTCCTCAGAAGACCTGTCCAGCTTTCGTGTCTAGCCTTTCATCCACCCACCGATCACCATGACGGCACGACTGTGTGTAACCGTATTTGCCTCTAAAGAGATCATGTCAAACTTTGGTCTTTGAACAAGTTCCTCTAGTGAAGCCAGGGCTCCTGGGGCTTTCATCAGAGAGGGATATTATGGGATGTGAATCAAATAAGATAATGCATATGAATGCCAGGACAGCATATGTCCGGTTAATGAAATTACTATCCCACACCTCAGGCTTTCCTAAAGGTGCCCACTCCTCAGTGTCAGAGTCAAAACAGCTACTTCAAGAGATATCTGGAGGCCACTCCTTCAACTTTAAGTTGCCAGTCAGATTATTTCCTTCCCTTGCCCCTTCTGTTATCTCAGATGAGATGTTAATATAGGCAGATAAAAGAAACCTTGCTTGGAGGGTCAGAATCTCATTTTATACACTTTTATGAGGAACCTTGGAGTTGCAGTGGTTAAGTCCACAATTAAATATAAATTAAAAACCAAATTCACTGCCACTAATTCAACTGCCACTCATCGTGGCCCTGCGGCACGGAGCAGAACTGCCCCTGAGGGTCTCTGAGGCTGTCAATCTTTATGCCAGTCAAAAGCCTCTTGTTTGTCCCCTCCGGTGGGCTGGCAAGTTCACGCTGCTGACCATGGAGTGAACAGTCCACCGCAGAATCCACGACACGCCCGGGTCTCCTAGTCGCCATGTAGGGAATCGAATTCATGAGGAGAAACACAGTCTTTGTTATAACGATCTTAGCTACCCATCACGACTGATATTTAGATTATAACGCAGTCTAATGATTTTGCTTACTCTCTTGTTGGACTATTTTCCATTTCTCCGCCATTCCAGGTGGCTTGTCAATGACAGAGAAAGTGAAAGGCCCGCTGTTGGGATGTCCATCCCGGTCCTGGGCAGTAACGTTCACATAAGGGGCATCATAACAGACACTCCGCACGGGGTCCACCAGTGTGGGACAATTGTCATTGATGTCTTCAACCATGATGACAATGGTGCCGGTGATGGTTTTCCTAGGGTAATCTGGGAGGGATAAAGAAAGGACACGTTGCTGATAATGGACCGAGTTTAAATTTGGTAAGGGGAAGATAGTAACCAAGTTAGTATATTGCCTATAGTAGCTAGATTTTCATAGTCAAACCAAGTATCGTGAACTAATTGACTAGACAAATAAAAACATGCGCGTTTACCCCTTGGAAAGCTTTGGGTTCTAGCTAAGAGCCAAAATGGATCTCAGAGGTGGGAAAAAACTCTATACACAGCTAATCAAGAAAAATATATTTGATGACTTACCTTCTGATACAGCTATAATTTTTGTGGTGTATGTACCATTTATGACATATTTGGATTCAAAGTCAGGAATTTTTACAAGTTTAATCTCAGAGGTACGAGTATCCACAGAGATCCAATTATCTACATCTTCCCATTTTGTATATCTGTTATAAATAGAGCAGAAAATTAATCTGAATCATGAATACTTGGGACTAACATATTTAGGACTTACAAGTCTTTCAGGCCTAATTTCTGCCTTGTTATTTTCTAATGGCGGGCAGTAGGTTTGAATGTGTTCGTTTCTTGAAGGCACAGCAAAGCCCCTTCTCTTTCATACACGTCACTCTTACGTGGTACTCCTCAGTTTTGGAAGGAACCACAGTGACCAGGCAGGTGAGGGCACTCCCTCTTGGCACACTAACTCAGGAGGTAGTAAGTTCCTCCGCAGTGTGTCCAATAGCTTTTGGCCTAGTCCCCCTTCAATTTGGAGGCCTTCGCAGGTAACTGACCAAAACTGGTGGGGAAAAGTCTCCCATGCTATTAAATACTATCAATATTTTTAAACATCAACTTTCAAAATCTGCGATTGTCTTACATAGAAGCACTTTTACATTTGGGGAAGTTGTTGATTTTTATGAGCAGTTGGTTTCTTTCAGGTAAAACTGGGTGAAAGTGAAAATAAGACAGGTCAAGTGATATTGGCTTGCTTTCTTCAAAGCAAAGAGAATTTGGGTGGAAAGAGACAGCTTTGGGGAAGCAAGAGTGTTCAGACTAAAGTTTCAGGAAGAGTTGCAGTTAAATACCAGCAAGCCCAAACTATAACCAAATACAAATGCATGTAAAGCTTGTTCAAGGAATCAAATTGATAAATTATCTTCTATGAAGCATCTCTTTAGGCACACAAGGACAATGACTAATTCCCAACAGTATTTATTACAGTGCTATTTTAGAAAATCCCCGTTATGTATTCAAACAAATTTGATCTAACGCTGAATGATTTTTTTTACCAGTAATAAGTTTGGCTTCTCACATGGATTTCTCCATTTCGCGTCTGGGATGTTAAGGCTTGGGCTTTGTTGCATTCCATGGTCATAAGGGCTCATTTTGTGACAGAATGTTTTGTGTGATATCTTTTAAAGTATCTGCTAACACTTCTCTTTTAATGAAAATCAGACACCATTAAGGAAGGATGGCAGGCCAAAATACCCATTAGCAACTGATGCATTGAGGGCTCTGTGAAAGAATAAAACTTGCCAAAGTTAGAGGAATGCTGTTTCTGCTGTCCTTATCCAGGTTTCAAAACAGCAACCACTAAGCAGTTAGATGAATGTTTGGGAAATAGGCCATGACTCTGAGTCAGAAATTATCATAAGGAAAGTTCAACCTTTGTTCTGGGGGATTCAATTAGGGTCCGCCTTGGCAGATAGAGGAGCCCTGGTGGCACAGCGGTTACACGTTGAGCTGCGATCTGAAAGGCTGGAAGTTCAAAACCACCAGCCACTCCAAGGGGGAAATACAGGGCTTTCTAGTTCTGTAAACAGGTATCGTCTCAGACACAGCAGCAGTCCTGTCTGGCTAACGGGGTTGCTGTGAGTGGGTCTCGACTTGATGGCAATGAGTTGGGGTTTTGTTTTTGTTGGGGGGGTGGGGTGTAAGTGTATAAATGTTTGCTGTAGAGTTGATTCTGACTCACGGCGACCCCAGGTGTATTCCAGTAGCACTATGTATGCTCCCTGAGTTTTCAAGGGCTGATTTTTTGGGAAGTAGATTGCTTTTTCCAAAGGCACCATTGGGTGGACTCAAACCACCAATCATTGGGCTAGCAGCTACTACGTTACGTTTTCACTACCCAGGTACAAAGCCAAGGCAATCAAAACTACCACCGAATTTAAAGAGGTACAATTGGTTCTTGTAGGGAAGGCAGGGGGGCGGGGGGAGGGAAGGGGTTACAGCTAGAACTATTTGCTAATATTATCTTAGAAAAGGGCATTTGATCATTCTGGCTGCTGGACTCCATTAAAATAAGAGAAATTTCCATGAAAATAAGAGGTTGTTGAAGAGATTTTTCACATTCCCATTTTTACAATAGCCAGGCCAGGGCCCAAATACACTGTCTGACAGAGCGCTGGCACAGCGGCCTCCAGGCCTCAGGGCGATCAAGCAGCCACATAGCTCTGGCACCAGCAGCAGGAGTGTGTGTGAGAATGTCCAGAGCAGCAGTGGATCTGTCGATTTAGCTTGAAAATATGAAAGAACCATGCACATCTCAGGTGTCATTATAGATTATTGGCATCAAAGTGGCTGTGTGGGGACTATCTTGTCTTTTCTACCACCAAAACCCCAAACCAGGACAGTTGCTCTAAGTAAGTAAGACCGATGTTAGGAGGTTTCTTTCTGAGCTTTTCCTGTGTTGTTTTTCAACCTCCTCTAGTTGTTTCTGAGGTTAGCATCCCAGCCTCATCTTAACACCTGAGCGGACGGCCCAAGGCATTCCTCCTGGCCTCTGCGCTATAGGTGCACCTTTGGGGAATCTAAACTGTAGAACTTTTGGGAAGCACACAGCTGTGGTATCAAGGAAGGAATGTTCAGTTTTCCCTGTGAGCTTTGAAAATACGTATTTAAATCACTTAAGGTGAGGAAATGTATTCCTTTTACTATCTCTTACTTTACACGGGTTGTTTTTCCAGTGTCTTCATCAAAAACTTGAAATTTTCCAATTATTCTGCCTTGGCTTGATCTGTCCGTGTGCTCACTGGCATGCACCGTGATTGTGCTGCTTTTAAAACGAATGCCTTCTTGCACATTTTGCACCTTTACTCGGATGGGAATGGGTGTGGGCTTGAATGTATTCTTCACTGATTTGTGGAAAGCTGCTTTATTCGTGACGACAATACTGAAGTCAAGGTTCTTCATTTCTTCATAATCCACTTCCTAGAAAGGTGAACACAAAGGGAGCGCTTTGAAAGCAGAAACAACTAGAAGGTCGCGCGCGCGCGCGCGCGCACACACACGGCTCTCCTGTTAGATACCACAATCACCTAGGAAATACAGCAGGACTATGTTCCAACCTCTTTGCTGATCCACCCACTGGCCTCAAATGGATTTGGACTCATCATGGTGAAGCTGCCTCAGGCTGTCATCTTTCATGAAAAAAACAAAGCAAAAAAACCCCCCAAAAAACCAAACCCAAAATCAAACAACAACCAAAACCCCCCATTAAACCAAAAACACTGCCGTCAAGTTAATTCGGACTCCTAGTGACCCCCAGAGCAGGGCAGAACTGACCCTTGGATTTCCAAGGCTGTAATCTTTATGGGAGCAGAAAACTTTGTCTTGCTCCCAAGAAGTGGCTGGTAGCTTTGAACTACTGACCTGGAAGTTCACAGCCCAATGGATTAATCACTACGCCTCCCTGGCTTGTTGTTTAAGGAAGCGTTTGGCCACAACTTCCTCCTGAGGAGACTGGTGGATTCTAAGCGCTCACCTTTTGGTTAGCAGCTAAGTACTTAAAATATTGCTGCCACCAGCGCACCTTCCTTTACTGACATCAACAATGACACAAAAAAATTTTTGTCATGTTGTATATTCATCAAGAGTGAGCGTGTTTAGCAAGCATCTATTTTCTATAAAAAATAGAAGAGGTTAAAAAAAACCCGTTTAACAATCTTAAGATTTATTTTTCTGCTTGATGAAAAAGAGTGATTTATGAATCTTCGATATGAACTAATATTCCGAAGCAACAAAGCCCACATGGAAGAAGCAACCTAGCCGGTGCGACCTTAGTGAATGAGGGGGAGGGGGAGAGCGGAGTGGAGACCCAAAGCCCTTTTGTAGGCCACTGGACATCCCCTTACAGAAGGGTCTCGGGAGGAAATGAGCTAGACAGGGTGCGATGTAGCAACGATGAAAACTACAACTTTCCTCTAGTTCCTAAATGCTTCCCCCCGCCCATCATGATCCCAATTCTACCTTGCAAGTCTGGCTAGACCAGAGGATATACACTGGTACAGATTGGAACCGGAAACACAGGGAATCCAGGGAGGGTAGAGGGAGGGTGGTTGGAAAGGGAGAACCGATTACAAGGATCTACAGATAACCTCCTCCCTGGGGGACAGACAACAGAAAAGTGCGTGAAGGGAGATGTTTGACAATGTAAAACATGACAAAATAATAATTTATAAATTATCAAGGGCTCATGAGGGAGGGGGGAGCGGGGAGGGAGGGGAAAAATGAGGAGCTGATGCCAGGGGCTTAAGTGGAGAGCAAATGTTTTGGGAATGATGAGGGCAATGAATGTACAAATGTGCTTTACACAATTGATGTATGTATGGATTGTGATAAGAATTGTATGAGCCCCTAATAAAACAATTAAAAAAAAAGAACTAATATTTCTCTAAGTGTGTTCCTTAAAATGTGTCCCTGTGCGCCAGTGAACAGGGCTACAGAAGGTTTGGTAGCTCTGTCTGTCTCACCCCTAACATACATTCACGCTGCTTATTCGTGTAAGAACTAAGAGTACCTGGAGCCAAGAAAATGGTTTTACTGTGTAAAACCCAGGGATTTTAAAATTTCTTCAAACCAGGAAGCCACACCCCCTCATTAGCATGCTATCTATTAACACCTGCTTTCCCAAAATTCCTTAAAAGATTAAATTCCTCTAAATACTCAACTCTTTGTAAAATATAGTTATTCATAATGTAATATAATCAGTGATGTAATCATTAGCAGACTATCTTTTAACATCTGCTTTGTCACAGTGCTATAAAAGATTAAATTCCTCTGAATACTCTACTCTTCTTGTAGTTCTTCGTAATGTAATATAATCAGTGGTGTAATCATTAGCATACTGTCTTTTAACATCTGCTTTGCCACAGTGCTATAAAAGATTAATTCCTCTAAATATGCCACTCTTCGTGATAAGTAGTTATTCATGTAACTAGTGATATTATCAGTTGATCCTGGTATACATATTTTATGTTGGTATACATATTTTATTTTCCTACTTTGCTATTTTGTTTTTATAGGCATTTCTATAGTATTCTACAGTGGTCCACTGTTTAGAAGTCCTAACTAATAGGAGCCCTGGTGGCGCTATGGGGTAAACACTGGCTGCTAGCGGCAAGGCTGGGTGTTCAAACCCACCAGCCGCTCTGAGGGAGAAAGCTGAGCCTATCTGTTCCTGTAAAGATTTACAGCTGGGCATCCCTATGCAGGATCTCTGGGAGTCAGAATCAACTACATGGGAATTAACTTAGCCATTCTGTTATTAGTCTTTAGTTATTTGAAATTATCAAGTACAATTAATACTGCTTTGAATACTTCAATAATGTTTTTGTTATTGTTGAGTTTTTACTAAAGAATTACTGACCTGAAGTGTATTTAGTTTGTATCGTGTGTGTTTGTGTTTAACTTTTCAAAAAATTGCCAAAATAGCTGTGCCATTTTACATTCTCTCTAGCGGTTTCTATGGTTTCCAGTCTCTGTTTGCCAATGACACTGGGCATGGCCACTTTTTTTGATGACGGCCATTCTTGTGGGCGCGTAGGAGGGATCCCACACACTGTGGTTTTCATTTACATTTTCCCTAAAGAGTTAAGAGCATCGTCTCATACGTGTATTTGCTAATTTGTGTATCTTCGTGGGCGGTACATTATTAAAAACATCTGTTAAAATCAGTTTTTAAAAATCGGGTTGCCTAAATTCCTTTTAGGAGCCTTGGCGTCACGAGCCATACAATTGATTATGTGCTGGACGACCAGCTGCAAGCTTGGCAGTTGGAACCACTGCAGACAGTCTGGGAGACAGGCCTGTGGATCCACTTCCAAAGGGAAACCCTGTCCACGGCCAACAACAACTTCCTTTTGAGAGAATTTGATTTGTTGCCCTTACTTTTGCAAAACATTTTCATGGTAAGTCTATAGTTTTCTCAATCTGTTGTTTTCATTGCAATAGTAGTTTTACTATATTTTATCCATGCCACTCTTGGTAGAAATGATGACATCCTTTGTGCCAGCAGGGTACACCCCCACCTCTTTCATTCATCACTGTATGACTGTGTGTTACTTCTCTGTATATGTGCTACATTCATCACTATCTAATTACTTCTCTTTATGTGTGTTACTGAGGAAACTATCCCAAGACATCATCATTATGGTTGCATTTATAATTCATGATTAAAAATGGTATGGATTTTTATATAAACAAGTAGCTCTATTTTGTATCCAACGATACGATCCATTTCTTCAGTTATCATAGAATGGCCTCTCTCTTAAAACATAAGGTCATGTTATTCTAGTTTCTTCTACTTCAAAGACAATAGTTTAAATACATCGAGTACCTACAATAAAGGGTACCTACAGCTATTACCGTGAAACTTTGTGCCATTCTCTATTATCCACTTCTATCATCTTTATTTGTAACTTAATAAATATAGTGCTTTGAAAGTCGTACCTTTGTATTTTATTTTAAAATCTTGGAAGTTTATTCTACCATAAACCATTTTAAAATACATTGATATTTTTCCTTCATTTATTTTGGGAGATAAAAATCATTCTTGTGCTTTTTGTTTTGGGGGAAAAATATGTGAGGTCATAAGTCCCAAATGTAGAAGGCTCTTATGTTTAATAAGACGATCCAATTTTTAATTCACTTGGTTCCATTAAGCACAAGAGGTTAAAACATTTCAAAAGCTGATGCCCCAATAAACTCACTGCCATCAGTTAGTTCTGACCCGGAGCGACCTTAGACGACAGAGTGGATGAGCCCTTTTTGGTTTCCGAGGTTGTAAGTCTTTCCAAGTGCGGAAATGCCTCATCTTTCTCCCAAGGGGTGACTGGTGCATTCAAACTGCTGACCTAGTGGTTAGCACTCCAATGAGTAATCCACTCCATGCCCAGGGCTCCTAGCATTGCACATGTGGCTTCAGACTTACTGATGTGGGGGCAGCCCTGGCAGGTGATCTCAGGGGCAGAAGGACAAGCCTTCTGTAGGTGTGGCCATAATCTATTACAGTGGAAGAGAACCCCTCAATACATCTAAGTGAACAGGCTGGTTCTATGAGGCAAATCCAAATCGTGGTGTGACCACTTACTAACTAGAGAAGTTGAGCAAATAAGGGTAGCCTTTATTTCAGACAATTCTGGTGCCTGGTAATTGAGTTTTAAAGCACTTACAAAATGCTTTGGCTCAAACAATATTCGTTTCCTCCATCTTCTCCCATCCCAATTTTGAAGGTTACATACTTACCTTAATAAGAGTCACAATCCCTTCATTCGTGAGCGTATCAGTTTCTATATGGAAATAACTTGCTGCATGTCCTGATGCAAATGTAAAATTTGCTAACCAATTATCTGAGCCAACTTCATCTAAGTCAAACACTCTAATGCGCATAACTTCAACATTGGCTTGGTTTTCTTGAACAGACCCTTCATACTGCAAAAGACGAACATATTTTATTGCCTTTAGATAGCAATGCAATACAAACTCAAGTAATATCCATATTTTTAGTTACAACTGAAATATAAACGAGGAAGCACATTTATTGGGAGAAATAAATAATTACCGCTTCATTTTCCACTACAGGTATATTGTCATTGACATCCAAAACACGGATCTGAACTTGAGCTTGTTTTACAGGTTTGTTTGTTATCTGTCCATTGCCATCTCTTGCTTCTACGATCAAAGTATAGCTGCTCTGTTCCTGGGGAGCAAAGGAAAATATCCAACTGGGCTGAAAAAGAATTGCTTACAAATCGTCCGTCTCGTTTTGGTTCACTTCATCATCCAGGGGCTGAGCCTCAGTTCAGTTAGTTCACTACCAAGGTTCATGACCGCTGGGAGCCATCTAAGATACTGCTTATTTGTAGTCAAAATTTTCATGAAAAGGGCAAAAAAAGACCTAGAGGAGGGGCTGATAATCAAATTCTGAACCATGTCACTGGTGACATTATCAGATAAGTCCTGGTGGCATAGTGGGCCAAGCCTTGGGCGGCTAATTACAAGGTCAGTGGTTCAAACCCACTAGACACCCCTAGGGAGGGAGATGAGGCTGTTTGTTCCAGTAGAGATTTATAGGGAGCAGTTCTACACTGCCCCCTGGGGTCACGATGAGTCAAAATTGACTCAATGTCAGTGAGTTTGGAGGGCTTTTTGGGGGTGGGGTGTGAGTGTGTGTGTGTGTGTGTGGGGGGGGGTTATGGTGGGGGTGTGTGTGTGGAGGGGCAGGTTTGAGATGATCAGGAGAGAAGTGTCTTCTTAGCCTAGTCTGGAGAAAGGAGGGCTGTTTAAAATGTAGTTAATTCTCCACTGGGTCGTGGATTGGTTTCATTGGTTCTTTCTAGAAGTTTAGGAGAAACGAAAAATGAAACCCTGTCTCCACTCGGTCAGTGCGGGCAAGCTTGATGAAATTTGTCAAGCTATCCCTAGAGAGATGATGTTTACAGAACTCGGTATCTAAAGTGAGAAGTCACCGCGGTCTCCTACTCTGGCTGCACTTTCTCCACTTTAAGGCAGAGGCAGACACCGGTACCGAGTGCCCGGGAGCCGACAGAGGCAGAACTACCCCGTGAAGGGCAGGGTAGCTCGGGGGCCAGCCTGCCTGTGTTCTGATTCTTACTTTGTCACTCACTCCCCCTGAGTTCCCTTTGTTACAAACGGGGTAGTAATTAGATGGGCATTAAATGAGCTAATCCATGTCAGGGCTGAGAACAACAAATAAGCACCAAGCTCACTGCTACGGAACTGGTTCCGACTTAGAGCGACCCGATGGGACAGAAAACACCTGCCCTTGTGGGTTTCTGAGACTGTCACTGCTTACGGGAATACACAGCCTCCTCTTTCTCCTGCGGAGCAGTTGGTGGGTTTGAACTGCTGATCTGGGTAGCAGCCCAATGACTAACCCAATATGCCATCAGGGCTCCTCCTAACACCACCTGGCCCATGGTAAATCCTCAATCTAAAAACAAACTCACTGCCACTGAGTTGATGATGACTCTGGGCGACTCTACTGGACAGGGCAGAACTGCCCCTGTGTGTTTCTGAGACTGTCACTCATTACAGGAGTAGAAAGCCCGGTGTTTCCCCTGAGGAGCAACTGGTGGTTTCCAACTGGGGACCTTGCAGTTAGCAGCCCAACTTAAAACAATTTCGCTTCTAAATCCTTAATAAGTGATAGTGACTATTATGAACTGGGCTTTCTTGACTTAAAAGAGCAGCTGTTACAATTGTACTGCCATTTCAAAGTAATGCTTTCCATAATTTTATGAGGGAGAGGTATAAAGTTTTAGCAGTAATAATATTCCTGGAGCCCAGGTGGCGCTATTGGGTAAGCATTGGACAACTAACTGAAAGGTCAGCAGTTCAAACCCAGCAGCTGCTCTGCAGGAGAAAGATGAGGCCGTTGGCTTTAGAGCCTCAGCTTCACAGCCTTGGGGACCCTACATCGGGTCGCCATGAGTCTGAATCGGCTCAGTGGCAGTGGCTTGTAGTGTTCTTGAGTATTAGAAAGATCCCCTGGGAATGTTGGGCACAACCTTGTCCTGCTCCGGGCAGAGTCGAATTCTTTTTTCAAACATTAAATTCTGCCCCCCTGGTGATAACCAGACAACACTTTGTACTTTTTTTGGTCTTGATCAACGTTTTACTCAAATACAGTCAAAATCTTTGTACATAGCATCTTCTTTATGGATTTCTCTCTCTTTTTAAATAAAAATCCAACCCCATTCTGTCCCCACCAACTACTGAATTTCCCTTCCAATTTGGGATTTCCAGAAACTGTCTCTCCAATACTATGATTTTATGACAGTCGGTGCGTGTGGTTTTCAGTTTGGAGCAGCATGCCTTCTCTGTCTAAATGCTAGCATGGGAGAGTGTTTTGAAGTTTCATGATACTCACAGCCATTGAACCAATGCTGACTCATAGTGACCCCCGCCTCCCTCACCCACTGTGGGTTTCTGAGACTCGTTAACAGTTTATGGGGGTAGAAAGTCCAGTCTTTCTCCTTGGAGCTGCTGGTGGTTTTGAACTGCCGACCATGCAGATCACAGCTCACCAGGGCTCCATCAGTTTCATTATCAAGCCACAAATTGCGGATGGCGGCCTTAGTATTCTCTAATACATAGAACCTTGACTGGAGAGGTTCTAGAACAGCACTGACCATAAGTAATTTACAAATTTCTAGTGGCTACCTTATGAAATATAAAAAGAAATGTATATTTTACCTGTGATATCCCAAATTGTATCATTTCAGCATGGAATCAACATAGAAAGGAAAGAAATTATTTTCATTCTTTTTATTTTCATACTAGCCCCCAACTTGGTGTGTCTTTTAGATTTATAGTATATTTTAGGGGAGACTAGTCAGTCATGCTTTAAGTGCCAACAGACACATGGGTTTAGTGGCTACCACTTTGGTTATTGGTGAGCACCCCCTTGGAAGGAGACAATAGGAAACATTCTCCTATAAATAAAGACTGGAGATCAAAGGCAAAAAGAAACAAAGAAACAGGGAAGAGATACTGGAAAGGACAGACAACATAAAATATCACTTACTTCTCTGTCCAACTTAAAAGATGTTGTAGAAATTTCTCCTGTGTCTTTATTTAAGTGAAACACTGGAGGGTAATTAGGCTCCTGGGAAACAATCTTATATGAAATTTTAGAATTTATAGTATTGGGTTCATCTGCATCTGTTGCATTGATTTTCATCACAATCGTATCTGGCATTAGAAACAAAAGTGTCTAAGCATGCTTACATGTTGTTATTTTCTTTATAATTTCAGCTTATCCCAAGAAGGATTCCAGGTACTTATCAAAATCATATACGTAGAGTTCAGAAATACCAAAAAAAAAAAAAAGTTCCAGATCAGGAAATCATTGAGGTGAGTGTAGGAATCCAAATGAAATATCAGGATGGAGCTGAGGTTAGTATTTCAATTCCTAGGGTGAAATCCTAACAGCTTCCTAATAGGAAGCTTACTTATAATACTTACTTATATACTCACTTATAATACTTATAAAACTTCCTAATAGGAAGCTTACTTATAATACGTCTAGCAGTGCATACAAAGAAAGCAGCATAATAAGATGTACAAGAAATTACTAGAAGAAACGGCACCTGTCTTAAGGTCACCACGGGTGGCGGAGGAAGAGTTTCCGCACAAAGGCACTGAGTTCATGGTAAGGGAGGCGGAACCGTGTGGAGCGGGCGGCAATAACGGTGGACAACACGAGGAGGGCAGTCCATGGCCCTGAGAAGTTGCTCAGTTGGTGAATGATCTGTCGTGTATATTTTTGCCAAAAATTGAAAAAAATTACACGAACAACAAGGAGTACAGGGAAAAAATGTTCTAAAATGGATTGTGGTAAAGATTGTGCAACTCTTCTTGATATGGTATGTGGATGAAATGCCAGTAAAAGAGTTTTTAAGTAAATAAATTCTATAATTCTGTAAAATGTGCAATTCTGATGTGTATTAAGTATAAACAAATCAGAAATATTATTGTTTGTATTGAGGAAAGAAAATCTCTCGTGAGTTTTCATATAGAACAGTTCCTGGAACAGGACTGGCAGTGAACCTTACAGTACAAATCAATGAATTGTGGGGCCAGCAATTTATAGCCAGAGACCCAAATATCATAAGCCACCCGTTTTAAAATAAAGTTTTATTGAAACATGGCCATGCCCATTGTATCTATGTATCGCCAGTCACTGCTTACATGAATGGTTGCTGCAGAGGTCTACCTATTGCATGCATCTATTTCAGGGGTGAAAAAGATGTCATGTAAGGTCTTTTGAACTTATCGCTAAAAAGCAGTTCTCAACGTAGTTTATGGTTCTTTGTCGCGTGGGTGAGACTCAGCTTCCATTATGGTAGGGGCCTTCATGACCAGCCTACCGAGGGGACGCAATAACCCTAGGTGTTCATTTAGAAACATCACAGCTTCGTACCTGCAGCGCTCAGCTCTTCAATAGACCCCATAAAGACATCCTGTGTGAACACCGGCTCATTGTCATTGATGTCGAGGACTTTAATTCGTAGTTCTAAGGGTTTTTCTAGGTTGTTTCCATTTTTATCCAAAGCATAACCTATGAGCTGAAATGGTGCATACATAATAACGAGAAAGTAGATGGAAGCCAAGGTCATTGAACTGCCATAATAATAAAGACAATCAAGTAAATCCGAACCTAAGAACAATTGCAAACTCTTCAACGTAAAATAATGCTTACTAGAAAAAACGGTGTTTCTTCTCGATCCAGAATCTTGGTGACGTTCAATTCTCCGGTGTCTTCATTGAATTCAAAAATGTCAAAGGGGGGCTCTGTGATCCCCTTGCCGGTATACTTGTATGTGACTTTCAGCCTCCTTTCTTCTGCAAGGTCAGAATGAATCTAACACAGAAAGAACAGAGGCATGCCTAAAGTGTCATTCTCCGTACTCCACACCTGTGCATTTAAATAGACAGTTTCTCACGGAAGTTGTCCTGATGCTGAGGTGAGAGGGCACAGGATGAGGTTTAGAAGCACAAAAGGAACAATGGAGAAACTGGATCCAAATCCTGCCTCGGCCACTCACTAGTTATGTGACAGTTACTTTTCGGTGCCTTACTCAATTTTCTTTTTCTGTAAAGTGGAGAAAATAATATTTCTTACCTATCTCTGGTAGCGTAGTAGTTACGGGTTCTGCTGCGACCTGTAAGGTTGGCAATTCGAAACCACTACTGTCCCAAGGGAGGAAGACTGTTCCCTTAAACAGTTACAGTCTTGGAAACTCAAGAGGGGCAGTCAGTTCCACCCTGTCCTGTAGGGAAGCTATGAGTTGGCATTACTTGAGAACGTGAGTTTCGTTTTTCTTTTTGGCTCTTAGGGTTCTTGTGAAAATGAAGAGATGGCTGGGATACATGTTGAAGGGTGTCGATTTTAAATTAAACACATATGGTAAACATTGCAGTCAAAATCACCTCCGTGGACCCATTTGATTGCCTGGAATTATAAACAGGGCAACGTTCTGTAAAACCAAACTGACTGCCACCAAGTCCACTCCAGTTCCTCGTGGCCCCAGAGGGTTTCTGAGGCTGCAAACCTGTACGGGAGCAGACTGCCTCATCGTTCTCTCGAGGAGAGGCACGGAGGTTGGAGCCAGCCCTGTGTTTAGCAATCCAACACTTCCACAACAGTGTCCCCAGAGCTCCCAAACAGACCAGGGCCGGCAGGCGATTTAATAATGTTTCTAGCCCTCTGGGTCTAGCCGAGTGACCGTCTTTAGCTTCAATAGACAAATATGTTCTCCTGTCTGATTCTTTATTAGTGCGTGTTGCCTGTGGTTGGTTCCCAGTTGGTGGCTATTTTTCTTCCTCCAGTTATCCCTGAAACCACCCCCACCTAACCCACAAGGCCCCTTCGTGGTCCTGACACTTCAGGATGAGCCCCCCAGTTCCCACAGGTGTCCCTTTGCTCTGCAGTTGGGAGATGCAGTGAGAATAACTCAGGGAGTAGGAGGCGGCCCTTCCCCTCCTCTCCACCCACTCTGCACCAGGGTAGAACGGTGAACCGGAAGCAGTCTTATGATTACTTTCACTGAACTAGAGCCTGTCTCATTTTACCCCCAAGTGCATGCATACCTACAAACACATACTTCCTCCTAAAGATGAAAACATTCCACAAGTACATTATCGTATTTCCTTAACATTTTAAGGTGAGCCCAAAAGTCTTTTCACTGATTTCCCCCTAGTTTTATTGTCATATAATCCACACGTCATACAATTCATTAGTTCAATCACATCAAGAAAATTGTATCATCATCACCACAATCAGGTTTAGGACATTTTCTTCATTCTTGGACCCATCATTATTAGCTCCCCATTTTCCCCACCCTCCCAAAGGACCTTTACACCTGTTACTTACCTCTCCTGGCTTTCATATACATTTAAAAGACAAAGTAAAAGGAGTAACAACGCAAGAACCTCCACTGAAAAGAAAGCAGAACATACTAAACACGGACAAGCATGCGAGGCTCGGAAGGGAGCTCACATGACAGGGTGCTCACTGCATCTGCAGCCATCCATGGTCCCGTGCCTGCCGCAGGGTCCCACAGCTACTTAAACCCTGGTCTGGTCTCACACTGTATTTTAATAAAACACCCTGTTTCCGGTTATTCCTTCCACACACCTTGGCAATTGGATTCTTCTTGGACAGATTCTCTCCTTCTCGAAGCGCCACAGGGGCAGTGATCCAGGCCCGCTTCTGCCGAACGAGGTGCGTTTGTGTAGGAAGCAGCTTGTTTTCCTTTCTCCTGTTGAAGGTCTGCAATAGTACACAAGTGAAAGGAACAAATACCAACCCATATAACCCCTGTGGGTGTTCAAGGGTTGTCTTTAAGCTACAATCAGTGTGGAATGAAGAAAACTAGTGATTTTATAAATTGGCAAATCAAAAAGAGTATACCAATGACCCATGTCCAGTTCCTTGTTTGACAGTGAAATCTCATTGGTGCTGGCAACGAAGATGCAACGTATAGTGGACGGCTCAAAAAACATACAAACAAACAATGTGACTTGGAAGAATTACAGCCAGAATGCTCCTTAGCGGCAGGCCAGCATGGCGAGACTTGGTCTCACGGACTCGGGATATATTAACAGGAGAGACTAGTCCCTTGCAAAGGATCTTATTCCTGGTAAAGTGGAGGGGCAGCAAGAGAGGAAGCTCCCTGACAAGACAACTGACACGCGGACTGCCACAATGGGCTCAAACATGAGAACATGGTGAGGAGGGCCCAGGCCCGGGCGGTCTTTCATTCTGGTGTGCATAGGGTTGCTATGACTTGGAACGACCTCGATGGCATCTAACAACAAGCCCCCTCCCAACAAGACTAAGACAAGTGTGGCTACAGTGGTTGGTGGCCAGACACTGAAGGCAGAGACACGTTTACAGATGTTGTATTTAGAATAAGCACGCACACGGGTGGTTAACAACCTGTGATATGCTCTTGACACAACTTTGCTTGTCGAAGTTCTGCACACTACAAGACCCTGCTGACGAAGAGCAAGGACTACAGCCCTCAGTATGGATTGAAACTTCATGTAAAGGAAAAAGATCCTCCAACTGGACCAAGAGACCACGTCATGATAAAAGGAGAAAAACCGAGGCTGACAAGGATTTCCTTTTGTTTGGATCCACAATCAGCCGTCAAGAGATCAAGTGATGCACTGCATCGGTCAGATCTGCAGACAGAAGACCTCGGTAAAGTGTTGAAGAGCAAGGCTGTCCCTGGAGGATTAAAGTGTGTCTGGCCCAACCCAACGTCTTTTCAATCGCCTTGTAGCAGCGGGTTTCAACCTGTGGGTGGCGACCCCTTTGGGGGTCGAACGACCCTTTCCCAGGGGCTGCCCGATTCATAACAGTAGCAAAATGACAGTTATGAAATAGCAACGAAAATAATGTTATGGTTGGGGGGTCACCACCACATGAACTGTATGAAAGGGTCACGGCATTAGGAAGGCTGAGAACCACTGCCTTATATGCATGTAAAAATTGGGCAATGAATCAGGAGGACTTGTGGTGCTGGCCAAGAATACGGAAAGTACGCCAGATGCCAGAAGACTAACGGATCTGTCTCGGCAGATGCACGGCCAGAATGCTCTTCACAGGCAAGCGTGGCAAGACTTCATCTCATGGACTCTGGGCATATTATCAGGAGAGGCCCATCCTTCCAAAGGGCATCGTGCTTGGTCAAAGAGAAGGGCAGAGAGAAAGGAAGATCCCGGATGAGATGGGCTGACACAGTGGCTGCAGTCATGGGCTCAAACCTGAGAACCATGGCGGCGAAGGCGCAGGACTGGACAGTGCTTCCTCTTGTTCTTGGGGTCGGTCGGCACCCCAGCAAGCACCTCTGTGAACTGGAACCTCAGGAGCAATCATTTCTAACTTACCTTCATGTGGGTATGTTCACAACGAAGGGGAAACTTCAAGAAGTTGTCCACTATCTTTTTAAAAATGTTCGGTTGTGATTTAGGGTAAGGTTTGCAACGCAGCTTATCAGTTAAAGCTCATGCAGATTTTGTTTCCAGTTAGCTGGTTCAATCCCTTCAATGGATATTGCTTAACCTCAGTGTTTCCTACTTCCATTTTCTTCTAGGTTCATTTTCCCATGAAATTTTTGAAGAGCCCTTCTGTGTGTGTGTGTATTTGTGTGCGTGTGGCGTGTTGTGTGCCATCTAAGGAACACTGTAATACAATATACCTAGTATCCTAAGACCTGAAATGATGATGAGATTAGGTTTACCTTATTTTACTCACTTTCTTGCTCTGTTACGTCTCATATTTCAAAATATTTACATGATTGTAACTAGATTTTTGATGTATTTTTCTTTTTAAAAATTTATAACTTAAAAAAGCTACTATTTTTAAGAATTATAATATTAAAGTTTACAATGCAAAAATATAAAATCTCCTTCTACCTTCTCAATTATATTTAAGAGTCTGGCTAACAGTTTGAAGACTACCTTTTAAGATCATTTTATGGCAATAAAGTTTCTTCCATGTGCCAGAAATTACTTTACCTCCCCCCTAAGGAAGGTCATTTAGACTGCGGAAGATGCTGCCCTGGGCATGCCTGACTCTCTTCCTGTCCACTTGTTTGAACGGGCACAACTGTCCTCCAGTCGTGTGCAGAGAGGCGCAGCCAATTGTCTTTCAATCTGAGTCCAAAGGGCAGCAATCTTCCCCGCGGTTCCTTACCTCGAAGTGAAGTCCATTTCCGAAGTTAAAGCAGATCTGTAAAATAAAATGATTTATTTGGAACTTAATAGTTTATCACCAAATTCAGTTTAAATATATTATTAACGAACAATCTATTGCTTAGGTTATACATAGTGGCAACAACCAAAACAAATTTATCAACAATTATTATCACCTCTGCCAAAATAAACGTTTAAATGTTCCCCTTTGCCTTCTTCCAGAGGAACGAGTCTATATTCTCTATAACCCACTCTCCGTCTTCTGGAAATTTCAGAAACAAGTATCTTTCCAAAATAACACGCCAAAGCAGAAAACAAATACTTTCGCCTTAGCCATTGCCTAATCATCCTTTTTGGTTTTCATCTATTGTACATGAATTATTTATAATCTGCTTCAGTTAGAATGTTCTGTTTTGTGTGCTGTTTTTGCATCTTACCTTCAGGGTACACTGAGCCATGAAATCTAGGTGTTCTATCATGGGGATATACATCTTCCATGTTTCTTCGGGAGTCTATCTCACAAGACATATTCTTATTCTAGACCTTTACCCCCACCGGTGGGCATCTTTGGTAATGTCGGGAGACATTTTTCGCTGTCACAACTGGGGATTGTAGGGTGCTTGCTGCTGGCATCTACTGAGTAGAGCTCAAGGCTACCCCTCAACATCCTACCACCCATGATACATCCTCTGGCCACCCACTCTTAGAAAGGGTGTCTCTAAGGCATTCGCTAACACTGTGAAGGGTGCTTTTTACCTGGGGAGCCTTCACCTTTTTTTTTCTTTCCTCTTCCTCCGTCTCTATCTCCCCAAAGAGAAACTCAAAGAGAATGGACGTTTAGCCTCCAGCTTGAACTTCTCCGGCACAGATGGACAACCCTCACTGTTTCTAGCTTACAGCCTGATGTATTTATTATTTCTTTCTCATCCTGTGTACGTTTGCCTGGCCAGCACTATCCAGATGTCTCTGACACAACTGTGCTCCCCAAACGTGCGCACTTTCAAGGGCAGAAAGAATGAAGGACAGCCCTGCCGGGATGGAGTGCGTCCATGAACTTCTGAAGACAGAGACGTGACTGGATCCGCCGTTTCTCAGTGTCCTGTCATCCGGGAGCATGCTGGAGGGTCAATATAAGTGGGCTTCATCGATTGTGTGGGAAAATCTCATCATCTTTTATCTTCTTTATGTAATTTTAAAAAATGTGTGTTCTCATTGTCTTCTAACTGTTTTCTACAAACGTTTTAAAGTCTACTCCTCTATCCCTTTCCCAGGTCTCTAACCAGCAGGCTCTGTGCTCTGGCGCAGGCTGTCCGGGAGTCAATGGTCACCACTTTCATTCGTCACTAGCATCTTCCTGGGCTGACTCCCCGCCATTGGTCGATTCGGACTCAAGTCACCCTGGAGCACAGCGTTTCTGCGGCTATAACCGTTTTTGTTTAGCCCCCACTTTAAATGGTCTTAATGTGGGGGGGAGAAGGTGAGGCTCTTGCAGAAATTCCTATGGAAATGTCAGGTTTTTGTGTTTGTTTGTTTGTTTAGTAACACAATTTTCCCCTAACCGTCCTTGGGTAGTTAACAGTTTCCATCTTTTTGTGTGTGTCTGGGGGCAGCGATTTTGGTCCAGAGTTTTGATTTTAGTATGTGCATCTGCCCCCGCCTCTGAGCTCGGCTTCCTCTAGGGCAGCGGTTCTCAACCTGTAGGGGACGGCCAATCCTTTCACAGGGGTTGCCCGATTCATAACAGTAGCAAAATGACAGTGATGAGGTAGCAACGAAAATCATTTTCTGGTTGGGGGGTCACCACAACATGAGGAACTGTAGGAAAGAGTCGCGGCATTAGGAAAGTTGAGAATCATTGCTCTAGGGCTACATTTAGTGCTCCATGGCTTGAACTGCTGTGGGAATCACATGGAGGGAGCTACCTACCTTCTCTCCATAGTTGTTACACTGAAGCTTCTTAAACTTCAAGCTGCATTTTATTTACCAGGGATCTTGTTAACATGAAGATTCAGGGGCTTTCAGAAGTCGGGCAAATGGCCACGGAGGAGTTGGAACGGGGCGTGCCGGGGAATTCCTGGGTGCCTGGAAAGAGCCTGGCAGTGCAGTGGATGGTGTGATGTGTGCACTTGTGTGGATTCATGGTGTACTATAGGGTGAAAAAAAGAGGTGCATCCTAAAGCTTTGGCTACCTGATACTAAGGGCCATGTGGTTTTGTCATTTGTATGTTCACAGCATTTTTTCCAAATGCTTTAAAAATAGCGTGGTCACTGAAGTACAGGCTCCACACTGGGACATCTTCATCTCTCCCTTTTCCTCCTCCCCCCACCCCCCAACAGCACTCTGCCAACTGCGGTTTGAGGAAATGGTTCAGGCCTTAACTACTCCTTACTAAAGCATGTACGGTAATTTGCCTATCTGTCCTTTGGAGCCTATCTCACAGAACACATACTTTACTCGCACCACTGCTTCTCCACTCTGCCCCTACACGCCAATCCTGGGGAATTGGGGGTAAGGTTCATAATATATTTTGGGTTATCATTACTGGGGACAGCAGGGCTCATTGTCACTAGTATGTATACCGGTCAACATCGTGCCATGTCCAGGGCCGCGTCCCCACCCCAACATCACTGCCAAAGATGATCTGCTCGCAAATGGCCAACTCCGAGATTCAGACTCAGGGTCTCTGACGGGAGGCTGGAAGCTACCGTCATGACTAGGGTCAGAAGCCAACCAACTCACTGCCATCGGGTCGGTTCCAACTCAGCACTGGCCCTGTGGGTTGCCAAGACACTCAGCCCTTATGGGAGGAGATAGTCCCTTCTTTCTCCCTCACTGGCTGACAGTTTTGAACCATTGGCCTTGGGGCTAGCAGCCCAACAGAGCACCCTGATGACAGTAGGTTCACCTGGTTGTACGAATTCCACAGGGTGCTGGTGACTCGGAGCATTTCCAAGTTGGCAGCACGCTGCAGGGAGGATAAATGGCATTACCTGACATTCGTTTTGCCCCCCCCCCCTTTCTCCAAAGTCCCCTTGCATAGCGCCAACTCTAGGTTGAAGCAGCCTCTTGGGGGGAGTTGGTAGAGGTTTTGAAACATGAGCACACTTGCATGAGAGGATGGTTCCGGCTCCTCCCAATCATGGCTTCATGATGCCTTTTGTCCTCAGAAGGGTGTGACACAAACATGCCACGTGTGACATGCCTGGAAGTCCAAAGAGGCAAGCTATCCAAGGTAGCAATGTTTTCAGATGAACCAGGACAATCCTTCCAAAGTGCTTTCAGCATATTAAATGCTTTTCTTTCTACCAATAAATCTTGTAAACACTGGCCTTACCTATAATGGGCAAGATTTTTTTTTTTTGACAAGGCAAGAAGAAAGGTCAAGTCTCATTGTCAAAACACAATTTATCACTGTGCTTTTGTTCTTGCGGCCAGCAAAAGACTTCCAGCTCCAGAATCACTGGATGAATGTAATCTGAGGCTGTGAGTCACCAGTGGAGACACCAGAAGATGCGTTATCGTAAGTCTTGCTTCTTCGGTGAAACATTGGGAAATCTTTCTTCTGTGCTCCTGGGATTCCGTGCAGAGGCAGTCCCTTAAGCTTTAATTTCTCAAATGAGTAGACACTTTATTGCCCAAGAGATGCCGTAAAGAAAGCAGTTTGAAATACAATGCTTATAACGGAGGCATCCCAAGAACTTATTATTTCCATCCAGCTGGAGTTAGTTTTATAGAGAAGGTGAGTGGTGTGGTAAATAGGCCATTGTCAGTATTCATATAGAAATGATCCAATACCGTCCTGATGTTTTTAAATTCAAGCCACCCTTGGATACTCCCAGTCTATTTCCTCATTCGGCCGCCCTTCAGAGAAGGCTGACTTTTAAAATAGTCTTTCCCTTCTTCCCAAATAGAGTCCAGAGTCGGAAACTGCTCTGCAAAGCATCCTTCAAGTCTCGCCAGCCTTAGTCTCCAGGAAAGAGAACAAGATAGAATAAGGAGTGAGTGTCACTTGTGTATTTTCCCTGCATGATACTGTTTTGTCAGGCAAAGGGTCAGAGGGAAAAGTGAAAGACCCTCAAGAAGGTGATTAGCACTCCTGCTGCCCTGGTGGTGTAGTGGTTCCACGTTGGGCTGTGATTCCCCATGGTGGGCAGTTCGAAACCACCAGCAGCTCCACAGAAGGAAGACGGGGCTTCCTCCTCCCGTAAACAGTGACAGGCTCGGAATCTCACAGGTGGGCTGCTATGCATCAGCAGTGCCTCGATGGCGGTGAAGTTGAGGTTTGTGGAGACAATTCTCATTGCCCCCTCCCCCAACTCCCAGTATCCAGAAAGTGAAAGCCCCCACACACACACCTCCTGCAAAGGCACTATTATTCAGCTTCAATTTCTTTGATCCCTTAACCCATTTAAAGACAAAATCAAAATACAAAAGCACAGGTTTGCTAGCATGCTGTTGACAAGCAGTGCGGTTCTACTCCATGTTCTTTCCCCCATCTTGTCAGGAGGCTGCTAACAGAGGTCCTCAGAGTGGAGTGTGAGAACCAGGAGAAACACCTGGAGGACTTGTTAAACCAGATTGCTGGGCTCCACCCTGCAGTGTCCGCAGCCTGGGAACGCGGGTTTCTAATGAAGCTCTGCTGTTGTGGTTGATGCCCCTGGGAGCCAGACTTTTCAGTGCCACTGTGCAAAATTGGCGCAGCCCAGGCGAGGGGAGAACTGGACCACGACTCCCTTAACAGCAGAGAGATGAACAGCTACAGGTGTACGTGTCCTTTAATGTTCTCTGGGCAGCACTTGCCTCTGCCAACACACAGGCGCCGTGGTTACTTAACAGCTATGGGTTGGGCTGTAAAGTTAGCAGTTCGAAAACAGCAGCCCAGGGAGGCAGACGGGACTTTCTACTCCTGCTAACAGTTACGGTCTCGGAAGCTCACTCGGGCACTTCTATCCTGCCCTATGCATCACTGGGGGGTGGAATCACCTCAGTGGGAGTGAGTTCGGTATTTTTGGATACACCTGGGCACTGGGACACCCAGATATCCAATGCCAGCATGCCAGCCCCTGGAGCCCCATTTGGAGCACACTTGCAGTGTTTGCCTTGTTTATCTTCTTTTTCTAGTTTAAGTGATTCTGAGTGGGCTTTTTGGGGGGTGGGGTGGTGTAATTGACAATTATGTGGTTTCTTCTTAACTGTTCTAAATGCCTTTGACATCAGGAAAAATATGTTAATCTGTACAATATATTAGACATAAATTGTTAGATGGAAGTTATGATCTGTGCCCAGTTTTAATGCATGTGTTCCTATACATTTCTGAACTAGAAGATTCAGGAGACATTCCCCAGAAGTTTTTAAGAAAAGCAACCAGAACTTCCATTGTCCATTTTCACCACTAGATGGCACTGCTCTGTTGGGAAGGCAAGCTGAGGCATCCGAAATTGAGGAACAAGGTTCCAACATCCTCAAATAAGTACTTGCAAGCAATCAAAA